GCAGCGGCACGACGGGCTCTTCGGGGGACTCCTCTCAGGAGGCGGGGCCACCCTCGCCCGTCGCTGCCGCCGCTTTCGCCGCCGCCGCCCTCGCAGCCGTTGTCGCCCCCGCCGCCGCCTTCGTTGCCATCGTCGCCGCTACGGTCGTCGCCGCTGCCGCCGCCGCCGCCGCCGCCGCCTTCGCCGCCGCCGTCGTCACCGTCGTCGTCGTCGTCATCGTCGTCGTCATCGTCGTCATCCGCCGCCGTCGCCGCCATGGCTACGGTCGTCGCCGCCTTCGCCGTCGCCGTCGTCGCCGTTGCCGTTGCCGTTGCCGTCGTCCCCGCCGCCGCCCTCGTTGCCGCCGCCGCCGTCGCCGTGGTTTTATGACGGCTTGGGGAGGTTGCCGAGTGTGCTTTAAGGCTTGCCTGGGGGCCCCTGTGGCTTTTCAAGCGCACCGCCCCTCCTGCCGTCCCGCCCTTCCCTTGCCGATCCGTCCCCCCAGCTGCGGCATGCTCGGGTCGTGTCGGCGCGGCCGGCCCCGCCGAGCCGCGTGGCTGTCGGTCCGAGGCCCAGCCTTGCGGGGCGCAACCAACAAACCAATGCATTTTATCGCCAGCGTGGGCCCCACACGGTGAGATATTTTATTGTCCAGGTGTAAACTATGCGGTATACAACATGTCGTGAAGACTATGTGGTGTGAACCGTGGAGGTGAACGCTGTGCTGGGCAAGCTATGTGGTGCGAGCTATGTCGTGAAATAGATGTGGTGTGAGCTGGAAGTGAAACTCATGTGGTGTAAGCTGTGCCGTTGAAGCTATATATATATATATATATATATATATTGTGCAAACTGTGCGGCGTAACCTGTGTGGTGCAAGCTGTGTCGTACACGCTATGCGGTACGCGCTATGTGAAAGCGATGCCGTGCAAGCTATCTGGTGCAAGCCATGTAGTATAAGCCAGCGCACGGGGTGCCCACGAGCGTCCACAAGATGGCACGGGCGGCAGCGTGGCGCAACCTCGGCTGACCCATCCCGCGCACGGGGCATCCACGAGGAGGCACGTGGCGGCAGCGTGCTGCAACCTCGGCGGCCCCGCCCAAGCATGCACGATAGCGAAGTGAGGACCTCTAAGTGCAAGCACCGCCAGGGGAAACCAAACAACGCCCTTCGCTGGGGAGGGTGGTGCGCGGAACGAGAGTCTCCCGTTTGGCGCTCGCGGTGAGAGCCTTCAGCAAGACGACGCGCAGGTTGCTGCAATGCCGTGTCCGTCCGACCGACCTCTAACTTCCACCTTCTTCCATCGCCCCTCTCCCTGCGACGACGGCGGCTACAGCGACGGTGCTGATGGCGACGGCGACGAAGACGCCTGATTAGGACGACAACGATGATGATGGCGACGCTGGCGCCGGAGCCAGCGATGCCGACGGCGACGACGGCGGCAACGACGGTGACGGTGGCCAGGGCGGCGTCGACGGCGTCGACGGCGATCACGGTGGCCCGACGCCACCGACGACGGCAAACGGCGGTGAGGCGGCCCCCCTTCCTCAGGCTGGCGCCTCCGCCCACGGGGCTGGCCTGTTCGCCAGGAGCCAGGAGCCCCCGGGCGCGCCCGGCGCCCAAGGGATTGCGGGGCTTCCGCCCCCTCTCAGGATCGGGGCTCGGGAGAGCTCGCTCGACAGTGGGTGGCATTCGAGTGTGCTTACTGTCGGGGCGCTGAAGAAGGAACCCTTTTCGTTGGGGAGGGGCTCGGTGTTCCTGGATTTGTTTCGAAGTCTGCCTCGGGTTTCCCTGAGGTTTCCCATGGGGGATCGAGGTTGAACTTATGGGGAAAAGGGGGCCTCGTTCCGTATTTCGGGCTCCTAAGGTCAACGCCTCGACCGTACACCCTAGGCGATGCTTAAGAAAACCTAAGTTTTCGTCCAGAGTCTCGATTATTCTTAAGTTTTCAATGTAAATCCCACGATGTTGATAGAAATGTTGGGTTTTTATTCAAGTTCTGAGACTATGAATTTCTTATCCCATGATTTCTTAAGCATTTCGCAGGGTGCACGACGAGGAGAAGCCGCCCCAGGGCGTTCCCGAGCGCTCCTCGGAGCGCGCTCGGGAGCCCTCTTCGGACCGGCCGCGGCGCCCGGCGCGCTCTCCGCACAGACGCGCTGGCCCTCGGGCCTCGGTACGCCCGCCTCCTTCAGGAGGGGAAAAAACACACAGACACAATTAATCGGCGATTCCCAGAAAATATATGAAAATATGGGAAGTGGGGGGGGAGACAAAAACCCAGAAAATATGGGAAAATATGGGGGATATTTTTATTTGTGTGTATTTATTTGTGTGTCCCAGTTCCCCTTCACTCCTGCCTGCCGCGTGAGGACACACCTGAGCCTGGCAGGGCGTCGGTTAGGTCGGGCATGCCCCCCTGCAGGCGGATCTTGGCGAAGGACTGAAAATGCTCAAGACATGCACCAGAATAGTCAAAAGTACTGAAAATCGTCCCCAGACTACAGCGCGAGCGCGACCGCAAGAGAACCCCCGCCAGAAACCCAACCCTGAAAACCTGCGCGCGAGGTGCACCGGAGGGGAAACCCGGAGCACCCTGAACGCAGCAGCTTCTTCAATGGCCGCGGGAAGTCGCCGCGCAGCGCGCGGAGCGAAGAAACCCAGGATACCCGGACGAAAAGCATATGGTTTCTCGATGCGCGCCCCCATTGTATTGTTTTTGACTATTTTAGAGTATTCCTCCTGTAGGGGGACATGCCCGACTCAAGGCTTCCGGCTGCGCACAGGCAGCCCCCCGAACGGAGCCCCGGCTCGCCTCCACAGGCTGTCGCGAGTGAGCCCCGCTGGCCTCGGCGGGCTCCCGAGTGATCCCCGCTGGCCTCGCCAGTCGGGGTTGAGCAGACCTCCTGCCCTGACACGTCGATTGAGGAGTTGGCCGTTCTCGGTTCGCGAGAGGGCGTCGCGGCCGTCACTTTTGCGGGTCCAGGTCAGTCGGTTTCGGTCCCAGGCCGTTTTCACTTAAGGGGAGGTTTGCTACAGGGAGGTTTGCCCACCGCCGCGTGGCAGGCCCCCCGCCGAGCAGTCCAGGGCGGCCTCAGCAGCTCAACCCTGGGCCAGCGGCGGCGCCAGGGGGATCAGACCTCCCCGGACCGCTCGGCGGGGGGCCTGCTGAGGCCGGCTCGGAGTACTCGGGGGGGGCTGTCGAAGGCCAGCCGGGACTGTCTGGGGGGGTTTGTCCTGTGCGCAACCCGAAGCCTTACCGGCCTGGCCCTGGCCCCTGACGACGACGACGACGACGACGACGACGACGACGACGACGACGACGACGACGACGACGACGACGACGACCTCGCCAGGGAGGCTAGGAGGCAGAGCTCCAGGCTGCTGGTGGCGGAGGCTTGGCGGGCGGCTGTTGCGCAGCCGCTTGGCCTGGGTCGGGCGAACAGGGGAGGAGGAGGAGGAGGAGGAGGAGGAGGAGGAGGAGGAGGACATGCGACTTATATCCTTTTAAGTGTTGGGGTCGGCTGTAGCTTCAGATTAGCAATGTGTGTGAAGACCTCGAGCGAAATGCCCCGCCCCGCCCCGCCCAACACGTCGGGGGGTGCGACATGGGGGTGTTCGCTACATGGGGAAAATGGATGGGGTAGGAGAAATCATGAATGAGGCTACAGAAACGGAAGACGAACTACAGGACAAATTGAAAAGCTCGTGATGAGATATTGTTTTTGTTTGAGACGCGTTGAGGCGTGTTGGATTCGGGGAGCAGGTTTCTTCTATAGGCAATTCTGCTACAGATCTGCACTATATGGAAAGGCTGCATCGCAAAAGGTCAACAGCGCATTGCATTGCGATATTCACGCACGTTTGCGAGACCAGCACGTCATGATGACAGCTGGGGTGGATCCAGCAGGGTCGGGATGTGCCCACCAGGCCGGAGTTCGACTGGGATTTTTTGGGTCGTGGCTCCGATCGGATGAGCCTCGCGTGGCCCTCGCTGTTTACCGTCCGACGGCAGATGACAGCAGCATCAGACAATGGCACATCCAGCCAGGTTCCCTAGTGACCACGGTGTGCTCAGACGACGAGAGATAGAGAGTGAGAGAGGATGACATGCGTCACTGCCAAGTGCGAGCCAGCTTCTGCAGTGATGAGTAGCGCGAGAGAGTTCGCCGTGTAGCACCAAGGAGGTCGCGATGCAACTCATAACGCGGCTGCGCGACCTCAAGGACCTTGCATGATGCTTTTTGTGCCTGCGGGAGGGGCAGACGGGAGTTAGGGCATGCACAGGTGATTTCAAACATAATGCAGACCCCATTCGCAATCAAGTGCCGATTGGGCCCGACCCCGCTTCGCCAATTGTGGATGTCACGACTTTCTCACCAGACATAGGTGTTGGCCTACAGTCGATTCGAGTGAGGGGACACGATCGATTCGAGATCAAGCTTCGTACTCTGCGTCGTTCGCGCGGCGCTCCAGAAACGGCCTCACCCTCGAGCGATCGAGAAGTTGACCCCTCTTCCTCCGCGCAAGGCGGCGAAAGGCTGGCGGAAATGGAGCGGGAGCGGCTCCGTGGGCGGAAGGGCAGGCGGAGGCGAAAAAGCGAGACGTCCGCATTCCCGGGCTCGGAGCCTCCGGGATCGGCCGCCTGGCTCGAGCAGTCCCTGCCCGAGCCACCGGGCCGCTCGCGCGGGAGCCCCCTGGGCCGTGCCGCCCGCCCGTCCCGTGGCGGCGCAAGGCTGGCTGCCCCAGGCATGTCCGCCGCGTCGGGTCCGGCGTGGTACGCGGGCTTCCGGTGGGAGAGCGCTCCGCTCTCGCACTGGTCCTGGCCCCTGGCATCTCGGCGGTGCAAAAGCGGAGCCCTCGGGGAAGGGGCCCTGAGCTGACACGGAGGGGATAGCAAGAACCAACGGACGCGCCGCGGCATTGAGAACGCCGGCCGGCTGAGAAATTGCCCAGGAATTTTGCCCCTACTTTCTTATTTTTTTCCGCTCCCCAGTTCAGCCCCAAAAATTCTTATCTCATGGTTTTCTTGATATTGACCAGGGGTGTAGTGCCTGAAGACTCGCTCACAGGGCCCCAGGCCCTCGGGGCCCCGTCTTTGAACCGATGGGCATCAGTGGTGGCGTACCTGCTCGCCACGTGGGGGCTCTCGGCGGCCATGCGCTCGCGCGAGGCCTTCGAGCTCCGGCGGCTGACGGCGCTGCACAACGAGTTCCTGTCGCTGGGCTCCTTGGCCATGTGCGCGGGCACCGCGGCCGAGCTGGTGCGGCGGCACGCGCAGTCTGGAGGCCTCGCGTGGTTCTTCTGTGAGGGGGCCGGGGTGGCTGCCGAGGGGCCGCTGTACTTTTGGTCGTACGTGTATTACCTGAGCAAGTACTACGAGATGCTCGACACGGCACTGGTGCTCCTGCAAAAGAGCCGCGTGCCGAACTTTGGGCTCCAGGTTTACCACCACGCGGCGGTGGTGGTGATGGCGTGGCTGTGGCTGGAATGCCGTCAGTCCCTTCTCGGGGCAGCCAACGCCGCAGGGAGACAGTCAAGAGGTTGAAAGAGGGACAACGTCGGGCTCCGACCGGGGCTCTGGTCTTGGCGCTGTTCCGTATAGATCCGGGTCGGGGACCTTAGTAAGAATTCTGCACCCAGGCTCGCCGTGCCGAAGCGCCCCCCTTCGTTCCTGATTCAGCGCTCCTTGCGGTAGCACGAGGGCTGTAGTAAACACTCGCGCCCCTTTGACCGGTCTCCTGATGCGACAGCAGTTTTGCAGCGGCCGCCGCCCCGGCCTCCACTTGCGGCCAGAGTAGGCCCTCCGCCCCATCCGTGTGCCGCAAGGCCTCGGGGGCGAAGGCAGCGCACTGCAGCATGCAGTATGCCCTGAGATCCTCGCGTCGCAGGTTTCCGCCGCGCAGCCGCGGAGCCGAGCGCAGATCCATCGGGCTCGAGAAGTGCCTCAGAGAGATGGGGTCCAGGATTCTGGTCGTGATCTGTTCACAATGTTGCCTTCATTGTGGCATCGGATCTGACGGTAGCCCAGATACGCCGTTATGCAGCATAACGACGTATTCGGGTCGAACATTGGAATGCCCCTGCATTTGCCCAATCAGCCTACTCCCCGATGTTCCACGCACTTTCAACAGTTGAAGTAACAGTTTACGTAGCGGTTCAATTCTTGGGTAAATAGATTTCGTCGTGATGTGGCGATATAAATGCTTGACCTCAGTGTCCCACATCCCTCCTCGAAGTCAGGCGCAAGTTTTTCCAACGACGTGGCGACGCCCTCAGGTCCCTAATTTTTCAATGTTGACGCCGACGCTGGCGACTGCAATTTTTTTGTTGCCCCCGCGGGCCGTGCTGCGCGCGCCCGCCGACACTGAAATTCGGCGGCGAGGGAGTTGGATACAAACTTGCGTTTGATGTCGAGGAGAGTTGCAGTGCCCTTGGCTGCCTTGGCCATCAGTGGGGCGGACTGCTGTTCAACACCTTCGTGCACGTGGTCATGTATCAGTACTACGCCTGCAGGGTGTTGGGCATCCCGACCCCGTGGAAGAGGTGGATCACGAAGCTGCAGATCGTCCAGTTCGTCACGTCTTTCTTCTCCGGGACGCTCACGCCACTCCGCCGGCTCCAAGAACAGGGTTCGTTGACCAGTTCGGATCCCCCACGCCCCACCCGAGAGAGAGAGAGAGAGACTGCGGACCTCGGGGAGGTTGTTTGATTCAGCTTCTCACCCTTTGTCTTCAGCTACCTTGCTCGCGTGCTGCTGGGCACGCGCGCGGAGATAGCGCACCCTATCTGCCCCAGGCCAGGACCCGCGTGGTGTCCGGACCGCGTCGCCATTCAAAAGAAGACGATCGACAAATGGATCCACAGCAAGGAAAGGAGGGAATTCAGCGAGGCATCTCGCGCGCCGTGCCTCTCCCTGCAAGCGTGGGGCGAAGGACTCCTCATGGGAACGCTCTACTTGGTGTCCGACCGCTGGGCGCGGGGCGACACGTGCGCTGGCATGGGCGCGCTGCTGTATAACTGCCTGTTCAACGCCACGCTGCTCCTGCAGTTCGTGGGCATCGACAAGCGCAACTCCAGGCACAGGGGCGGACCACATCGGTGCTCTGGCGATTCCGTGGGCCGTGTCCGTTTCGACTTCGTTCTGCAGCAAAGGCGGACCGAAGACAAAACGAGGGAGGACGAAGACAAAACGAAAACGAAGAGCACCGGTCCGGTTAATCCCTGCCCCAGGCAGGAGGAGAAGAAGAAGGGCTGACCGCCGCGGTTCCGCCGCGGCGCGGCACCACAGGCGGCAGAACCCCGTGCGAGAGCTGATCTTTGACGGGCCTCCTTCTCCCCCGCCTCCCCTGCCCGATCGCTCGCCGGCGACCGCAGGCCCCCACCACCAGGGGCGCCCTCGAGGGCGCGAAGTGCTTCGCGCTTCGCGCTGCGGCCCCGAGTCCTCCTCCTCCTCCTCTGCTCCCCAGTGGGATGGGGGGGGGGCGGCGCGAGAGCGCGACGTACTTCGCGCTTCGCGCAGCGCGAGAGCGCGAAGTCGGGCGCCCTCGGACACGAAGTGGCACAGCGTCAAGAGCACCGCAGTTGGAGCCCGAAGGCGACGGGGCAGGCGAGGAGCGAAGGCCTGCACGTGAGGTCCACGCAGCGGGGCTCTGGAGGCCTCCCTATAGGGCCTCCGACGCCGGGCTTCTCTTCCAGATAGCACGGCGTGGGCCCCGAGGGGCTCTCGGCGCGCCAGCCCCGGGGCCAGCGCCTCGTCGCGGGGCGTCTTCGTGGTGTGCTGCTCCGGGGCCCCGGGGGGCGGCCCCCCGACGCGCAGGTCTCGACGGGCCTCGCGGAGGACGATCCATATGGAGGGGAAGCATGTTGCCAGCTAATTTCCAGATGTCTAAAACATGCGTTGAACATGTGTTAAGCATGGTTGAAACACGTTTAGGACATTTCCCCGATATTTTAAGCACATGTCACATTCAATGATCGGACTGTTGGGGTGTCCGGTGTCGCGGCATCCGCAAGACAAGCCACGCAGGCGTGTCGCTGCGCGCTGTCGCGACACCCGAGGGAGGTGCACAGCCGGGGCGCCGAGGGCCGGGGCCCCTGCGGAGCCGGGAGGGTCTCCTGCTCTGCGGGCTGGCCCTCGGGTCTGTCTTCACCCTCTTCTTGTCATCCGCCGTTGTGGGCTCCTCCTGGAACGGCTCGCGCAAGCAAGAGCCGTGGGTTCTTGGTTCGGGAGCGCGGAGCGAGGTGCATCGGGATGCTCCAGCGATCCCAGAGGGGCCGTGGGGGGGCATCCGACGACGTCCAGGTCATCTGGGCGTCGTCGGGTGGCCCCTTCGTGGCCGAGGGCCGCCGCGGCCAGCGACGCCCCTTCCGCTCCTTCTGCCCGTTTTTTTTTTTGTTTGGAAGGAGCAGACCCCCGACGTCGTGATTGTTTCGCAACGTCGGCCCCCAGAGGGCTGGACCCCTGCCCGGGGACGGGTTTTTCATCCTGCTTCTTTTTTTTGGAGGGGGGGGGGGGCAGACCCCCGACGTCGTGATTTTTCACAACGTCGACCCCAGAGGTTTTGGACCCCCTCCCGGGGACCGGTTTCTCATCCGGAGCCTTTTGGTTGAGGGCCCCGAGGCCCGGGAAGGGCCCCCGGAGGCCGAAAAATAGCGCAAGACCGCCCGCCGTTTTTTTTTCTCGCAGTGCGAGGAGGTCTGGGGCGAAGGTTTACTCCTGCTCCTCCTGCCCCTCGTCCTGCTCCTCCTCCTCCTCCTCCTCCTGCTTCTCCTCCTCCTCCTTTTCCTCCTCCTCCTCCGCCACAATTACTCAATATGAATACTACTCTCCCTCCTCCCCTGATGACGGTTTGAAAGTGGCCGACCCCCCCCCCCCCCCCGCGTATTGTTTTTGTTACACAGGTTTCCCCAGAGTTTGGTTTTCGCTTGCATTTGTTTTCGAGATGCTGCTCCCGTTGAGGCGCCGGCCTCATTTTCGGGCCCCGCTCGTTCCGAATCGTGCTCCCGCTGCAGCGCTGGCCTCATTCCCGTGCTTCCGCTCGTTCCGAATCGTGCTCCCGCTGCAGCGCTGGCCTCATTTCCGCGCTTCCGCTCGTTTCGACTCGTGCTCCCGCTGCAGCGCTGGCGTCATTTCCCGTGCCATACCACGGCATGCAATGCAATGCTAGGTTGATGCTACGCTTTGCGGTGCTCTTCTACGCCATGCCTGCCGTGCTCTACAATGCATCGCGTACCCTTTCGGGATCATTGCCCTGCTCGACATCCGACTGAGCGAGTAGAGAGGGGATCTGCGCCATGGAAAGGGATGGGAGGGAGGGGTAGGATGTCAGATATGACGCGAGCGCACCTAGCTTGTCCTCCTCCCCCTCCTCCTCTTTCTCCTCCCCCCAGAGGTCTCGACCTATTCCGCGGGACTGGTTGCTCATCCCGAGTCGTTTTTTGGCGGTCCCGAGGCCCGGCAAGTGCCCCCAGAGGCCGAAGCATGTGAAAAACCGGCCGTCCTGATTTTTTCGTTGCTTGAGGGTGTCTGGGGGGAGCGCGGCCGAAGAGGGCGCGCCCCGCGCAGCGGACGCGGCCTCCTCCTCCTCCTCCTCCTCCTCCTCCTCCTCCTCCTCCTCCTCCTCCTCCTCCTCCTCCTCCTCCTCCTCCTCCTCACAACGCGAGGAGGTGGCACCCTTTGCCACTGGGACCCCTTCCCAGGAAAACAGGCGGGTAGCAGCCCGATCGTCACCCTTGTTTGCCCGTAGGGGGCCAAGGGGAGAGAAAATTGCTCTCGTCGCCAGCGGCCACCCATGGAGTGGGTGGTGGGTAGGTTGGGCGTCGGAGCACGGACTCCGGCGCCCCCTACCCCGAACAGGGCGCGCGGAGCACGGTCTCCTTGCGCGTACTGTTTCGCGCACTTAGCACGCCACGGGGGCATGGCCCAGACCGTTGGCGCTGCTATGGCTGCTGGAAGTAGCAGCCCAGCCGCCCTGGTCGCTCGTCGCGCGGCGCCCTGGGACATTTCAGCACGGGGTTTTGTTGAAAAAAGCAACGCGAGGAGGTCTGGGGCGGCAGCGCGAGGGCTGCAGTTATGAGCAGCCCTTCCCCGCCCCCCTCCAGCCTGTGGGGCGGACGCGCTGCCCGCAGGCTTTGCTGGGGCGCGGCCGCGCGTTTGCCGCTCGAAATCCCAAGGCCTGGCAGGTGCCGGGCGGAGGCGGCGCCTCACGGTGGGCCCCCGCAGGGTGGCGCGATTTTCCGCTCCAGCGAGGTTGTTCGCCATTTTCGGCCTCTGGGGACCCCTGATCTCCATCTCGTGGAACCGATCCAGCTTCCACTTCACGTCCTGGCAATAGCGTGGTAGGACTGCCTCTCAAATTTGGCCGCTGATTCACACTGGTTGGTCAAACTGGTCTGCTCCGCCGACACCAGCCTTTCCACCTCCATGGGGGGCGGATCCACGATGGACTGGAAGGTGACGCAGCGGCTGCTTGAGCGACTCCAGCAAGGGCGGGGTGGAACTTGGCCCACTTTTGGAGCTGCGCCACGAGCTCTGCGGGCTAGGCAACCCCCGCTATGGGTTGCTTCGCAGCCGCTGGGAGGTCAACGGTACCAGAACGATACGGGGCTTGACACGTGCGGCATTGCCGATGCCCCCATTTCGTGCACTCCCAGTGACCGATCAACGAGCCGATCTGATATCACGAGTCCTGATGCTGTTCCTTGACATGAGGAGTCCCCATAGGATGAATCCTGGTATGAGGAGCCCCCGACATGAGGCATCCTGTACGAGGACCGTTCCATGTCTGTCATTCTCTTCCACGGCTCTGATGCCAGGGTGCATTCCGACGCCAGGCAGTGGACGGCACGCAGCCCCCGTGGTGCTGACCGAGCACTTGCAGACCACGCTCACGGCGCAGGGCGGCGACTCGCCTCCGCTCGCCGCCGCCCTTGACGGCGATGCCAGGGCGGGCTCCGAGCCCGCGCACGCTCCGCAGCGCGCCCCTGCGGGCGCCCGGGGGCTATGGCGACGCGGGCGGTCCGAGCGGGGCAAGACGGTTGCACGACCGCCCGCTGCCAAGCCACCCAGGCAGAGGAGGGGAGAGAGGCGGAGGAGGGGGAGGAGGAGGAGAAGAGGGAGGAGGGGGAGGAGGAGGAGGAGGAGGAGGAGGAGGAGGAGGACGAGGAGGAGGAGGAGGAGGAGGATGAGGAGGATGAGGAGGAGGAGCAGGAGGAAGCGGAGAAAGATGGTGAGGCCAACAAGGCAGATGCAGGGAGCAGGGCGCGGGAGCGGGGAGGAGCACTTCAAGGACGAAGGGGGTGAAGAGGCACGTCACATTATCTGAAAAAAACAGCGTGACGCGGAAGTTGGCGGCAAGACGTCATGGCCACGAGGGCGCTGACATTGCGAACCAGACACCACGTTGGAGTTCTGGTGACGGGATCCAACGACCGAGCCTCAAGGAGTCAAGTCTACGGTAGCAACTACTGGGAGCCTCGTATATCCTCTTAATTCCGCTTTCGGCATCGATTAGCGTCGACTAGCGTCTGGGAGTCGATGCGGTGTGCCGATTTAGCGTCGACTAGCGTCGATGTAACGTCGATTTAGAACCGGTTAGCGTGAACTAGCGTCGATTAGCGTTGATTCGCAAGAGCCGACAAGATGGTATGGGAAACTCCCATGAGTTACTACCGAACAAGTCTTCGGATGCTTCTGGCACCCCTGTGACCTTCCCAGAGTCTTCTGGATCCTTCCGAGAGCATAAAAGGTGGAATTCCGGAGCGCTCAGGCCACCTTTGTCGACTTCTGGTCCTTAGACCTCCTGCGTCGCGTGCTTTTCAGCCCCAGCGTTTCTCGTTACGTTTGGCTTCCCCGGAATCGTTTTCGAACCCACTGGCAAAATGTTGCGACAGGAGGAGGGTACAGCACGACGCTCCAAAGAGCAATCTGCATCCAAGTGGTTTGCACTCGCGTCGATCAGCGTTTTGTGCCTGATGAGATAGCGCCGAGCAGCGCTGATTAGAGCCGATTCGCGTCGACTCTCAAAGCCCAGCAAGATGGTATGGGAGGCTCTCATGAGTTGCCGCGGAAAATATGCACAACCTGCCTGCCGCGGGTCCTCCTCCTCCTGCTCCTCCTCCTCCTCCTCCTCCTCCTCCTTCTCTTCCTCCTGCTCTTCCTCCTCCTCCTCCTCCTCCCCCCCCCCTCCCTCCTCCTCCTCCCTCCTCTCCTCCTCCTCCTCCTCCTCCTCCTCCTCCTCCTCCTACTCCTCCTCC